AACGCGAATGGCTCTTTTGTACAGGGTCCGGCAGCAGTGACGAGAAAAATTCTCGATGACTAAAGCTTTCGGGACACTTTATTTTCGGCGTTGCTCGGCCGTTTTTCTAGTCGAAGCAAAAAGGGGAACGAAATTCGCGGAAAAGTCGCACGAGCAAAAGGACCGCGGAATTTCTCGGTTCACCGTGCAAAGTCGTTATATGTATCTTTCTCTCACGCTTTGTCATGCGCGATAGATGCATACATACATGTGCAGGCCGCGTGAACGCGATTGCGCAAATGCAATTTCCACCATCTTCTACCTTTCCTCTCTCTCTCTCTCTCTCTGTTGTGTCAAGTGATCGGTTCGCGCGAAATTTTCCACGCTTCCACGTTCGTTCACCCTGTTTTCATCCCCAATCTTACTTGCCTTCTACTTTTTATATTTACTCTTCGGTATCTGTCGCAAAAAGGTTAAAAATTTGTAATCGCGTAGTAGGTTAACACAGCGAAGAAACCACCATGCTGCAAAGAGGTGGTAGCCACTCACATGGCTGACTGTCACTGTCAAGGTCCCATGGGGGAGACCGATTGCCAGTCGAGTGGCTAACTACTCGGTTAGCTGGCGCCTTTGATCTACTCTGCTCTGGTCTAGTTCGTACGACACCCATGCGTTTATTCGCTCGTGAAAATTCCGACGTTTCTTTGTAGCCTCGTAATTTGTACGTACCACGAAAAACAAACGATTCCGAACTGTCTCCTGGTACTACATTACCGCTTCCCCTTGCCTTTCGTAATCTACTACACGTGGCAGGATTTCTCGCATCCTATTAATCTTCTCAGACCTCGAAAAATCTTCCCTTAACGTCTATTCGCAACAACACCGATATCCACGAAGAGAGGTCCGCTTCCCTCGCGCCGTCGTTTCAACGCAACAGAGGTAAAGGTGTCGGTGTAATCGAACGTCCCGCTACCGTCGCGTCAACATCCAGGATGATCGATACCATTATCTCAAAGCAAACGCGCACGGTTTCGCTCGGCCGGTTCGTTGACCCTCGGGAGAAGGGAAGGAGGCGGAGGAGAGCGACGCGTGAACGCGGAACAAAGAATTGCAGGAGGAACTGGCGCTGGCCCGAGCGGAGTTTGGAAAAACGAGACGTAAATGCATGCGGTGGTCGCACAGTTTGTCACTGCCAAGGTCTCCCATAGTACGGGCCGTGGATGCGAGTGGAGCAAGCGGCGGCTATCCGGTTCGACGATGAAGCACACGTTCGGCTGGCTGGATGATGACCGGTCTTGCGTCGAGCGGCCGCATTGTCAGAGGCGGGACGAGA